AGATGGCTAAGGATGGATCACTTGGTGGTGGATTTGAGTTTGTGGCTGCGGCTGCACCATCTGGTGGAGCTCGACTCTTGAGCATGACCGAGCCATTCCTCCTACGAGGGGAACCACGGGAATGGTTTCACAATTGCAGATCTCGATCATGAAACCGTCAGGGTCGTGGAAGAAGAGCTGGTCCACTTGGAGCCCTCCTTCTTCTACTACTATTGCCCTCTCATACTTTATATCCATTTCACCCAGCTTCTTCTCCACTGCTCCCATACTCTCGCACTGCATTAGTTTCACAAAGTAACAATTTTCAGACCAAAATTGCAACATCAACAATGGTTAAAAAACAGAGGAAGACCGCCGTTTTGAGGGCGAAATGAAAGCATAGTTTGCTTGAAGATGAATTTTATCCCTAATGTAAAAAACAAAAATTATACCAATTTAGCTAAAACGTCGCACTTTTCGTAATTGTTTGGATAAATTTGACACTCAGTTAAAAAAAAAAAAAAACAGAGGAAGACCAATCTCTGCTTATAGAACCCAACACTTTAATCTCATCTAACACTAATCCTCAGTAACAGTTATATCACACAAAAACAAGAAACAAACTGATGTTTGGTCCTATATATGTCTCACCTCTCTCAAACCCCACCACTTAGTGTTCTTGTTCTCTCTCTATTAATCTTAAATTAAGATTAATAGTATTCTTAAATATACTTGTCCTTTTCTCTCAATCTTTGTTGTCCCATAAATTTAATTTCTTACATTCATAAAGACACACTTTGATTCAATAGTATCATTAATCACATCACACTTTGATTCAATACTCACATCAAACTGTACAAAAAATTCTATCTTCAGGGTTTTAATCAGGAACATAAAACAGCTCAGTATTGAACCAATTAAAATTATATCTACCTACCTAGTATTAATGATTCTAAAATTGTTTATAAAAAATATAATGAATTTAGAAAAATTTCTTAAGGCAACATCTAATACAGAGATTGCATGCACGTAAATTATGATTTATAGGGTTTAAAATGTATATATATAAAAGGGCTAAATTAAGAATAACAAAAAAAAAAAAAACCTGGAAAGAGATGTGATTAGCCTTGATATCAATCTCAGTTTTCTTGGGAAGTTTCTCAGGTTCTAGAGAACGCAGGAGGTGCACTCCAATTCCATGTCCAAACAACCTAAAAACCAAAACATTCAAAACTCATTTATAATTTTTTCTGTAAACTCCCTCAAAATTCAAGCATATTACTAATAAATAATATGATAAAAAAAAAAAAAATGGGTGTACCAAGCGCCTTCAAAATTTAAGGATTCAGGTCTTCGAACCGGGAAGAACCCTAACACGTTCTGGTAAAAGTTCATTGATTCCTCGATGGATCGGCACACAAGAGAGACATGGTTTAGTGACGTGAGATGGAGAGGGTTTCCTGCGTTTTCTTTCATTTTCCCGAGAAAATTCCTTAAAGAAAAAGAAACCAACGTAAGCCCTCCGATGCAACAATCCAATTACAATCGTGTCTAGGCGAGATTTGATTCAAGG